CCGACATCAATACATCCTCAGATTGCTGCAGTACGGACACAACGTGTATTTCTATAATCTTGATTGTCACTCGTGTTTGCATGCAAATATTGCTTTACTCTAAACCCTTCAACTATATACCAAACTTTTAAGGAGAAAGAATGAATGCTATATCAGTCAAGACTCAATATTCTTAAGTAATCAGAAATGCTCCTTTTTTCAATATATTTATGAAGTAAGACTTGTAAAAACATCAGTAAATATTACACTTCTATTTGACAAAGAAACCTATATGAAATATTTTATTTCATAATACAATTGGGTTTTTTTTGCTACCAGTTATCCAAGTAAATTTCAACAAATTTCCATTATCTAAATTGTTATACAAATGTTCTATAAATCTGATTTCATTTAACACATCTGCTAATAATTTACAGACAATGCAAACTCCTCAAATCTCACATTAACAACAATCATTCAGGTAATTAATATTGATATGTTGACCTTTCAATTGATATTTAATAGTGTGTCTTTCTAAGTTGTGATGTTACACTATTGTTTCAGGTAGAGTGAAGGTTGGCGCCTGTTAAAACGTTTAAACCCGCTGCATTTGTTTGCACCTGTCCTAAGTCAGGAACCTGATGTTCAGTGGTTGTCGTTTGTTGATGTGGTTCATAAGTGTTTCTCGTTTCTCGTTTTTTATATAGATTAGACCGTTGATTTCCTGTTTGTATGGTTTTACACTAGTCATTTTTGGGGCCCTTTATAGCTTGCTGTTCGGTGTGAGCCAAGGCTCCATGTTGAAGGCCGTACTTTGACCTATAATGGTTTACTTTTACAAATTGTGACTTGGATGGAGAGTTGTCTCATTGGCACTCATACCACATCTTCTTATATCTACTTAAATCGGACAATGAACTTTAATTGGTATTTAAAGGTGTTAATTATAAAGTTATATACAAAAGTATTTTTTTCATACAAAATTTTAATGCAATATCAATCTATTCACCGATTGTGTTTAAACCAAATTAAATAACTATGTTTCTGATGCACGATTTTTCAAGCTACTTCAATAACTTTTACTCACTAAAACTCCTGACACTGGACATAAGCAATGATATTATAGGATTAAACGCCTTTTTAAAGGAATTTATTGGTGTATAAACTCGACCAATTCACTCACAAACAAATAAAAGTTAAAGGAATTTATTGGTGTATAAACTCGACCAATTCACTCACAAACAAATAAAAGTCCGAAGGACTTTTATGATATGTTTGTGAGTGACTTGGTAGAGTTTATACACCAATAAATTCCTTTAAAAAGGCGTTTAATCCTTATAATTCTTTAAAATTGGAGATAAGGAATTTATTTTTCCACACCTGTAACCTCTATCACACATAAATTGTATATTTGTGTCATTGACTAGGCCTGGCGCATGCATATATTTGTTGGTTAATGCAAAAATATGTACTCCATGAAATTTGCAATCTGATAAAAAAAAAAATACAAAAACTATTATTATCATTCAAATGAATGGTTTGTGTTTATTATTTAATTTAACTATTAAGACCTATTAACGCGAATTGAAAATAAATTTTGTTAACGTCGATCTGGATTGTGTCATTATCGCCGCCATCTTGTTTACATTGGTTACGAAAAGAAGTTCAGTCAACGTCGTCTATCGAAAAATAAACAACGTTAAGAAAAACTACCGGAAGTCCTCTCAACCAATCATATCAACGTATTCTCTAATATGCAAATCATATAAGAATTATTTTAAATTAAAACAAATCTGAAAATGGTCATGGCCAAATGCACAACATATATCGAAATTTGGTGCTTGGTGGGAAAAAATTCTTTTCACTATAAAAAACATAGAACAAGAGTGCACACACTGAAATGTCTCGCCTGCTTTACTTATCAGGATTAAATTTATGTTGGAAGTGTGTAATATGGTTTTTCTATTAGTTTATTCTAGAAAACCACAGTCAAGTAAGTCATCAAAGTGAAATATAGATATAGATAAAATAAAGCATACTTACAATCCTATAAGACTTTAATTCCCCTTTATTAATATTATGAAAATTTTTATGAAGTTTCTATACATATTGTAATAGTATTGTAAGTATGCTTTATTTTTTATCACTTTGCACTTTGATGACTCGACTGTGGTTTTCTAAAGCAGTTGGTAAAAATTTCTGACCAGTTGAACAGTTTGATTTGATAAAACAAACTGCAATTTGGTCAGAATTTTGATTGAAATGCAATAGTTGGAGAGCAACACTTACAGTCAAGTCACAGTAATAAGGTTTGAAAAATTAACAGAATACATTATGCACAGATAAATATGCCCTTCCTCTTCATTGTCAATATAAATGTTTGTCCCTCCTAATGGAAATACTCCAAGTACAGGGTCAATTACAGAATTGGCAATTATAAAAATAAGACGATGTGGTATGATTGCCAATGCGATAACTCTCCAAAAGAGACCAAATGACACAGAAATTCATAACTATAGGTCACCGTACGGCTTTCAACAATGAACAAAGCCCATACAGCATAGTCAGCTAGACAATTTTGTCATATATATCTGCATTAGGTCTCCAAACTTCTTGTATCTAAAGACTGAATGTAGAAAATGGCCAAAATAACCTCATTTTGAAATTAGCATTTAGTCATGAACATCACCCTTACCCCAAGATATTTTTCTATTCATGGTCTTTTTTAAAGATGATGTTGTGAATATAATATCTTTTTTTGGTAAAGGATTTGCTGGAAAATAAGTTTTTCATAAAATAGCTATTTCAGGTCAAATAAGTCAAATTTGCAATGCTAATGACATCACAATAAATGTTTGCACTCCCAAGAACTTGATAACATTATCTTATAGAGAATTTTTTGCACTTATTTAAATGAAATAAAGGTTCTTATCACATACTTAATCCATTTTGTGATAAAACTATTGTGTAGAATCATGTCTCTACAACTTCTGGATACACTGCCTGAACCAGTTGTAGTCAAACCTGTATATAAAGATCACTCTCAGGGACAGAGAAAACCAACCTTATAAGAGAGGTTACCTTTAAATTGAGGTTCAAAATGCCTAGGCATTTCCACTATGGGACAGGAGGAGGGTAAATTGATGAGACAGGTTTTTGTTTAACAGAGGTGACCTTTATGGCCGGTTTGACTTTATTTGATAAAATAAACTCTCTGAATCTTCAATATTGTGCCCCTCCAACATTATTTTTTGTATCTGTATTATTTTTATAATTTCATCTAGCAAAACCGGATTTTTACAATATCTATTTAAATTTGTTGGGCATTACAAGTTGCTAGTTGTATTTTTTCAAGGATACATATGAACGTATAGACAATATGTTTACTTGGGTCTTTTTACAAGGAGCACAAACACAGCAAATTGTAAGAATAAGATTTTTAATTGTTTATAAAAATAATAATAAATAGCATGGACATATAAAGTACATACATTTATACAAGTTTAACATCATAATAGGTGAAAATGACATAATTAGTTGTAGACACTTATAATACTGATTACCTACAAGAGATGCAAAAGAAAAGAAAGGGATAGTCAAACTCATATTTATAGTGGAAAAAAACTGACAATGTCATGACAAAAAATGAAAAACAATCAAAAGACACAGTATACAAAACACAACATAGAAAAAAAGGACTGAGCAACACAAACCCCCAAAAAATAAGGGGTATCAGGTGCTCCGGATGAGTTTAATAGCAGATCCTGCTCTACATGTGACACCCGTGTCAAAGTGTTATTTGACTTTTCCAGCTCAAGATAACCTTACTTATAAATAACTTTATATTAATGAATGTTGTCCAAAATTATTGAGTTTACACAGTATCATTTATATGGTTGACAATAATGTAACAATAGTGTGCCTAAAATATAAAGCATGGACATGATTCCCTTAAATCTATTAGTAAAAACAGTAATGATTACAACAGAAAAGTTTCTCAAGGGTAAAGCACTTTCAAGAGCTTATAAAATAATTGTTTCAACCATTGAAAACTATTTATAAAATGTTATACCTATTGCAATACTTATAAATACATATCCATATGTACACACGTATCTTGATTTTATGACAAAAAATATACTTGTAAATCTAATTTTATTCATTCAAAATTAAAAAATTCAGAATTATTTTCCACAGTTATCTCATATAATCTCAAGGATTAAATCATAGAAAATCAAGAGTGATGGTGGAAATTGGAGAGCGTCTTCAAAAATTCAAGTTTAACCATAAGTTTTTTTCTATTGAAACATGAAAATATCTACACCAAAATATCCTGATTTATGTTATAAACACAACATGTACAGGATTCACATAAATATTAAGATCTACACAAGTGTCAAATTCTTGTATTTTTATGTAACATTTTCAATGGTTAACACAATAACCATAAGAAAGCATATCAAATGAGGTCACTTAGACCTACATTTTTACTCGTTTTTTTTCTACATACATAATTTAACTAATGTTATGTCAAACATGGATGCAACTAACCCAATTTCAGCTGTGTTATAGCTTACATTTTTATGTAAATAATGTAGACTCTCTAATTTTGTAAGGTACAATATTTGTGGATTAAGAAAAATTGTATATTCCAATATATTTGATTTCATGCTTTTGCTAAGTCTGCATACAATGTAATAGAAAATTTGAACCTCATTTAACATTTAAATTTGTTGATCACCTATACCCACAAAAATTGGTAAGCAACAAATAATAATGAATCCACAGTAAATATTAAGTAAGTATAGTTTATAAATTGGTAGTGAAAAACACCATCAATCAATCATATCTAGTTCAAAGAAACAAAGACATTTAATTGCCTAAAAGGTAGCTATTCTCTGAATTTGCCCTTTATAGCTTTTTAAAAGTTTGAACAGCTTATTTATGAATTTCTGTTGATGCTAGATTTTATCAGGTGTTACAAGTAAACACTTTATACATTTGAACAAGAAAACAACTGATCATTCCCACTTCTCTAAGAAAAAAGAATGTTTCAAGGCTTCTTCTGCACTTATTCTTGTATGTGGATTTAAATCGAGTAGTTTCCGTAACAAGTCGAAGGCAGAGTCTGATACATTTGTCCATGGAGTCGTCTTACTTTGTTTAGACTGAGCTCCTGATCGTAATTTGTAACACATTGTCTTTAGGTCTAATGCTGGCGTTGTAGGATTACACAGTAACTGTTTACCTGTGAATAGAAACCAAAATTATTTTAAGACAGGTGATATTTTATACATCAATCAGTCATTTAAAAATGTCTTCCAAGTCAGGAATATGACAGTTGTTGTCCATTCGTTTGATGTGTTTGTGCTTTTGATTTTGCCATTTGATTAGGGACTTTCCGTTTTGAATTTTCATCGGAGTTTAGTATTTTTGTGATCTAACCTTTTTCCACAAGTATGTATCTAAATTTTCATAGTTTGTTATTAAAAATTGTGTTACACCTGTCATGTGGAAATACCAATTATAAGCATATTGTTCTCATACTTTAACAAACTTTATTTAAGTTTAATTCATCCCTATTTAATTATAACCACCATCAACTGTTGAAAAGTTGAGTGGAATCATGGCATTTAATTCTGAAAAGGAGCCATCAAAAAACATTTCACTTCTGGTTATTGTAATAAAGTAATCTGTAGAAAATAATTTCTTTTTTTATAAGAATTGTCACCATATAAGCTGGTTTTCCATTATGTTTTATTTAAAGTTTTATCTGTTAGGTTGGTAATGTGGTGTCTAAAAAGAAATAACCAAGACTGATTGATTACCAGGAGTTTGCTTTGAAAGCACATAAGTTAATGTAAATATATGAATGCAACACAACATTACCTATTAAAAGAAGAAAATCAAGTCCAGAGTTGTTTAAAATCAGCAAAATCTGTTCAGGAAAAAATCATATCTTTATAGTTTCAATTACAAAGTTGGACACCAAACTAGCTTACAAAATAGGTCCATATCAAGAAAGTTCTATAAATTATATCAAATGTGTTGAGCATTGTCGACAGACGACAGTGTTAAGTTTCAAAATACTGTAAATTCAGAAATTAATGAGAGGTTTTGATTAATGCTACATATATCTGTATGCAACTTTTCCTGAAATTTAAATAATTGATCTCAAATTTTGTTTGGTCATGACAAAATTGCAATAATTGCTGCCTTTACAGTATGGAAAAATCAATTGAAGACTTTTTTTTTTCCCCGACACTATATCAATGATTTCAGTTTACTTGTTCAATTAAATAAATTTTTACCATAAGTGACTGCAGATTTTTTCACATCCTCACTTCCAAAAATGCTGATTATTTGTGCTAACGCTGTCATGTCATCATTGGCCCTGAAGAATGGATATCGTCCACTGAGTAAACACAGAAAAATCACACCAGCAGACCATATATCTACAGCTGCAAAGAAAGATTAAGAAACTATAGCATTGGCCCTGAAGAATGGATATCGTCCACTCAATAAACATAGAAATATAACACCAGCAGACCATATATCAACAGCTGCAAAGAAAACATTTTAAAAATCATGGCATCTTGATAAATCGGCCCTAAAGAATGGATATCATCCACTCAGTAAACACAAATATCACACCGGCAGACCATATATTAACAGCTACAAAAAAAAAAAGATTTAGAAACTATTTCATTGGCCCTCAAGATGGATATCGTCCACTCCACTCGGTAAACACAGAAATATCACACCGGCAGACCATATATCAACAGCTGCAAAAAAAGATTTAGAAACTATTTCATTAGCCTTTTTCGCTGCTTGGACAACAACTACCATCCATTTATCAATTAACTTCATTATCTCCCTTACTAGTTGCTTGACCTTCATGGATGGAAGAACAGACTGGAAATTTCAAATCTACCCTCCTCCTGTATTGTAGGAATATAATGTAACATTAAATATGTGGAGTTCCATAATCTCCTAATCAAGAGGTTTTTTTTTCTTTTTCCTGCATGCACATTTTTCTGATGTCGTTTTACTATTTAGTGATGTTTCATTTAATTCCATCGATCATTTTACGTGAAGTTGCAGTTATTTGCAAGAACCATGGATATAAGGATTGACTGAGCCATTCCCATAAACCCACTTCCCCAGCAAATGATTTCAATACCTGTAGTCTGGTGAGGACATTTAATCAGAACTTCTGGTGCTCTAAACCCTGGTGTACCAGCTCTAGGTGCTTGCTGGTTACTTCTAAAAAATAATAAAACAAGAATATTAATCTCACTATCATATTTCTATGTTCTTTCTGTTTTGTGAATTGTTTTCTTACATTGGTGTTGAGTTTCTTGTGGTTTTTGTTTGTCCCCTTGGTATCATGCTCTTTTCCCAGGTAAATGTGTTTCATATGTTTTTAACATATTACAACCAACAGTAGATACTGTTTTTGAAATAATGTGGATTCTTATTATTTGTTTGGTACCAATTTCACCGGTTTTTAAATTCAAATGTTCTACGAAGTACACATTTCTCCTTTGACTGAATGCAAACTTTGGTAGGGCCACGAAATTAAGAAAAGTATAATTTTTCTTCAATCCAAAAAAACTTGGTACCCCAAAAAATAAATGAACCCAAAGTATTCTGAAAAGAGCAAAAATTAAACAAAGAACTAACTTTACTTCTGTTTTTCGCATCAAGATATTTTTGATGAATCACATGATCTATTTTGGATGCATTGAAAATTCTGTTGGAAATGAAAACAAGAGTGCACACGCTGAAATGTCTCGCCTTCTTTACTAATCATTGATATTATGTTGATAGTCCTAAATATAAAGCTTTACTACAACTATCACATAAACTTAACATGATCCAAGAAAATGAGATCAAGGCCATATAAACCAAACAAGAAATACATGTACACCTTACAATCATTCAATACACTAAATATAGTTGACCTATTGCTTATAGTTTCTAAGATACAGACTTAACCAAGAAAACTAAACATTGACCAATGAACCATGAAAATGGGGTCAAGGTTAGATGAACCATGCCAGGCAGACATGTACAGCTTGCAATCCTTCCATACAACAAATATAGTTGACCTATTGCTTATAGTATTAGAAAAACAGACCAAAGCACAAAAACTTAACACTGAACAATGAACCATGAAAATGAGGTCAAGGTCAAATAAAACCTGCAAGACTGACATGTACATCATAAAATATTTCCATACACCAAATATAGTTGACCTATTGCATATAGTATTAGAAAAAAAGACCAAAACTCAAAAACTTAACTTTGACCACTGAACCATGAAAATGAGGTCAAGGTCAGAATACACCTGCCAGCTAGACATGTACACCTTACAATCATTCCATACACCAAATATAGTAGACCTATTGCATACAGTATAAGAAAAACAGACCAAAACACAAAAACTTAACTATAATCACTGAACCATGAAAATGAGGTCAAGGTCAGATGACACCTGCAAGTTGGACATGTACACCTTACAGTCCTTCCATACACCAAATATGCTAGACCTATTGCTTCTAGTATCGTAGATATGGACTTGACCACCAAAACTTAACCTTGTTCACTGATCCATGAAACGAGGTCGAGGTCAAGTGAAAACTGTCTGACGGGCATGAGGACCTTGTAAGGTACGCACATACCCAATATAGTTATCCTATTACTCATAATAAGAGAGAAATTAACATTTCCAAAAATCTGAACTTTTTTTTCAAGTAGTCACTGAACAATGAAAATGAGGTCAAGGACAATGGACATGTGACAGATGGAAACTTCGTAACATAAGGCATCTATATACAAAGTATGAAGCATCCAGGTCTTCCACCTTCTAAAATATAAAGCTTTTAAGAAGTTAGCTAACGCCGCCGCCGGATCACTATCCCTATGTCGAGCTTTCTGCGACAAAAGTCGCAGGCTCGACAATAAAAATTATGAGTGGTGGGGTATAAACAAAATGTGTCGACCAAACCACCTCCCATAAATTTTTAATCAAATAGACCATAAACAATTTTTTTACCTTGATGTGCATATAGTACAAACAGTGGGCTGACCATAACACTGACATGTTGAAATACTAGGACTCCTAGAGATCTCTCCCTTGGATCGTATCATTTCTTTCTCTTTAACCATTAATGCTCTCTTGGCTAATAGTAATCTTCTTGGGGATTTAGATTTTCTGATTAACATACGATCTGGGTGTCTCTGTTTGTCAAACTGCGGCTTCAGACTGTGATTTTCTGGTTGCTGAATGTTTTTCAAGTTCTGAAGGATGAAGATAGATAATTAATACTGTATATTTCTTTTTTGCCATAATTATATTACTGAAACTTAAAACAATTCTAGAAGAAGTATCGCATGAATTAGAACTTGCATTTTTCTCGATAACATTTACATTGCAATAAAAATACAAATATACAGTATGAAATTTAATAATTTTTTTTTGCATAAATTCAAGTGAAAAAAGGTAAAAGATAAGTATCTAATATTCTGTCAGCGTCTTATTTCTGATTAAAATCAAAGAACAACATTGCAATACAATTATGTGCTATAATTTCTGAATTTACAGTACTGGAAATTGAGATTCTTAAAATAATTGGTATAAAACTGAATAAGAATAACTAACATATTTAGACATTGATTCTAATACAGTTTTTGCATGCAAAGCTATATAGCCAAAATTTTAAATTGTATTAATAGAATAATTTCTATTGTAGGTGCAGCAATGGAAACTCCTTTAGAGAAAAGACTGTGCAAAGTTTTTTTCTTTCTCATGTTATAGAAAATATGAATATGTGGTAGTTTCATCTGTTTGACTAGATATCTGAACGAATACATATTTGAAAAAAAATGAGAGGAGGGTTATAATATAATCTATTACGTGTTATTTTAACTAATAAAATAAGAGTTATGCTCTATTGTTTAAAATTTGTTGATATATTTCTAAAATGTCTTCCTTCCTCTGAAATTTCAGTGGAACAACTAAAAGTACTTTGAAAATTGTACATTTTGTTTTAGTTATAACATGTGGTTGACATAATGAACTTAGTATTGTCAGGATTACTTGTTAGAATTAGTTCGAAAAATGGTCAAATGATAAATAGAATCAATCACTGACATGGAAAGCTGACAAAGCTGTTGGTACCTCCATAAAAAATACACAAATTTATTCTCCCACGATATATGTCAGAGCAATCATTACCACTTATGAGCTCTTCCAAAATTTTCAAATTGGCAAACTTTATATAATTTTTTTTAATTCAGCTCTTTTTACTCAAATAATAGCCTAAACAAACAAGATTCAGAGACAAAGAAAGAGAACAGAAACCAATTTTGGGGACGTACGGACGGACAGGACAGACAAGGGTAACACTCAATGCCACCTCTGCTACGGCGGGGGCATAAAAATAATAAAGCATCTAAGGTTTCAACTCATTCAAGCAAAGTTAACCTTTATAGATGGATCTTTGCAATTCTTTTTAGGTATTTAAGTACTTCTACATCTTTGGTTTTCCTTGAGTTTCAAATTTTGGGTTCAATCATTCCAAATTAACATAGGGCTGTTCCATGAAAACATACATAGGACACAGGGAAGACAACTTGAATTTGCCACTATGAGTCAGTGTATTAAATTATCATGTTGTACAGGTTTAAAATGAATGCAGGACTCTTAAACTGCTTCTATGGGTGGTCACTCTGTTTTCAAAGTGCCTTCCCTGGGTACCATGCATGTTTTAAGGGCTATTCCATTAAAATGTATGTGGGAGGGTAGGAAGGGAAGTTTAATTATTGAATGTGGGTCATGGGTCTTTTTTAAGTATGCTTCTATCACCATTATGCAAAATTATCTAAAAAATGATTCTTGGTTGTAGGGATATTTTGAAAGTCCCTTCCTACCCTCCCACATACATTTTAATGGAATAGCCCTAATGGAACAGCCCATATCAAATTCGTGAAGTGTTATTTTCATTTCTTAGAGCCCATTGACATCTTGCTTTGTTGTTGAAAATAATTATGTGGAGCAAGCTTCAGAAGGCACATAATTTCCAGAAAAAGACCATAATCTTAAAATTTCCTTTTTTGATGATTTTAACAATTGTCAAAAAAAAACACTGCAGTACAACATCCTTTTTATGTCCATATAGAATTGCATAAAAAAACTTATATCTCTTAAAGGTTAATATTATTTTGAGGCTTTTCATAAAATAAAGATGACATCCCTGGTTCTTTTCTTTATTTATAGGGCTGTTCCATAAAATCATACATGGTACTCAGGGAAGGCACTTTCATAATTGGGTAACAACCTATAGATCAAACCCAACCATAGTAGAGATTTCAAAGTGCCTTCCCTGGGTCCCTTGTATGTTTTAATAGAACAGCCTTTACCTGGTTTTCTTGCGATTCTACTATTTTAGATGGCAGTAATGGTGATATGGTCTCTGTATTAGTTTTATCATTTGGTGCAGGTGCTTTATGTGCCAAACCAAAATCTACCAAGGCATACCTGGAAGAAAGAATCATGTACATTAAATTCTTAAAGGAGAAGGTAAGATCTAGAATCAAATATATACTCTGCAACACAATTAACACACCATTTCTCCAATAAATAGTATTTTCTCAATCTTTTGCTTCTTCTATAAATTTGCATAACTTGGTATATTTTAGGCATGGTTTACAAAGAAATTTTCATTCAAGTAGCCAATATACATATGAATTTCATATGAACACTTGTGGGAGTAGTCAATTTCAAACTGGTCATTGAAAAAAAAAATATTTATGAAGAAACTGAGGATCAAAGAACTTTTCTTTCTTTTCAGGTAAAGAGATACAAACAACTTCAGTTTTCACAAATAAGGCAACATTTTTTAGTTTTTTCAAGAAGTCAAATTGAAAATTAAAATCTAATCTAAGTTTAATGTTTACAAAATTGAGCAGACATGAAATGACATCAACTTTTTGTTTGACTCACAAGGAGAAATTGTATAAGCACATTGATGTATTGCCCAAAATTATGTTGTTTTTTTTAGTTTTTATCTCCTCATTTGCAAAAATGTTAATAAATAGTGCAAGTGACCTGTGTGGAAATAGCCAAAATGATAATCTAGTTTTAAAAGACCAATTTCAAGTTCTTTTTATGACTGAGTTTTGAAGTTGATCTGAATTCAATCAGTGTAAATGATGTCATTGAAGTATCAAATTTTACTCAAGGCTCACCCAAGCAGGCAACTATGCCAAAAAGTCTCATTGTCCATAAGAAACTGTGATGTAATAACACTAGTATTGTGACATCTGAGATGTACAGAAAATGCACAAATGTGAAAGTTGTCTACATTCAACATGTACATCGCTTTTGATTCATAACACACTGCTTTAAATACTTGACAGTACATGTATGAAACTTTTGCACTTTGAACGTTTTTAGAAAAATCTTATTTTGCTTACTGTTTAGTTGAACTATTGTATAAGAAGTTACTGGGCTTGACATCTCTGTGTATGATGTTAAACTGATGAACTCTTCTCAATGCAACCAGCAAATTCTTCATATAGGCTTGGACCTCTAACAATGACATTGTCAACATATAGTCCTGAAAAAGTAAATAAAACCATTCATCTTAATTCATCTATAAAAGTCTTGGTCATCAACAAACAAATCACAATACAGCATTATGAAGGTGGAAAACTAGATATCTTGACCTATAGTTGTTAACTTCTACAGCATTTGGTCTCTGGTGGAGAGTTTGTCTCATTGCCAATCATACCACATCTTCTTCTTTTTATACTTTTAAGTGTCAAACTTCACTCATTTCTTTCTTTTAATTTTTCAGAGGAAAGGGTCGTCAGGAAACAAAAATAAAGAGCTGCGCTAGAGTGCATGATACCCCAGCTTTTCCAATGAAGAAAGTTCCATAACTCCTCAATGTCATATCAGAAATTTATAAAAAAACTAAAGGGAGATAATTTTTATAGATATAAACAAGTCAGCAAAGTTTCATGAAAACTGCTTAAATCATTTTTCAGTTATTGTCCAAATACTGGAAAATCCCACCTTTTCTATGAATAAAATCTCGGAAATGTGTAATGGAAAATCTATAAAAATCAAAAGGGAGACTACATCAAAAGATATAAACATTCACCAAAGTTTTATGAAAATTGGTTAAAGCGTTTTTGAGTTATTTTCCTGACATGTTGACGACGGATGGACGGATAATGGTATACCATGATACATCCTGTAAATGGGCGTATATAAACAATATGGATAGAGGGGTTCATTTGATTTGCAGTACTTGTAGTATAAGAAATCGAAACAATCAAATTTGTAGAATATACAATTGAAGAATTCATAACATACCTGGAATTTTTCATGTGGAAAGTACGGCATAACAATGACAACATGGTCTCTCTGTCTGATACATAACTCTACACCCATGACATTATCACAGCCCCTGTAAAATATGGCATTACAATAACATAAACAATATGATCCCTCTGTCTGATACATAACTATACACCCATGACATTATCACAGCCCCTGTAAAGTATGGCATTACAATAACAACATGATCTCTCTGTCTGATACATAACTCCACACCCATGACATTATCACAACCCCTGTAAAATATAGCATTATATTTGTGAACCATGTTGACAAATGTCATCACTAAAAATACCAGGTTGGAAGTACAAAACTTATATCACAACATTAGATTTCTTAGACAAATGTCAGAAACAAAGACATAATTAGGGCTATTCAAAATTAAATGCATTTGAAAGCACTATTCCCCAAATAATCAACACCCAAACAAATTTCATTGGAAATTTAATGTGTTATTGACTAACAACTAGATTCAAACCCCACTACCCCATATATCATTAATATAAGGTTACTTCCAACCTCCCCTACATACCCTTAATTCTGAAATAGCACGCAATAAAAAAAAAACTAATTTAACCCCACCACATTGTGTGCTTGTATGAAGTGTTATTTGTTGATGTTTGTCTTTGTTTGTATGAGGAAAAAATAAATGAATCTACCTACTGTAAAAACAATCAGTTCTGTTCAAACATCATATAAAATGACATTGGGAAGGAGAAGGGGAGAGGTTTCCTTCCTTCAATAGCATTTGAGATAGTTTTCCACTTCTCAATAACTTAAAGAGATGATATACCTCTGAGAATCTGAACTTTTCTGAAAGTTATGAGTTAAAAAGTGTAACTCATGGTACAACCATCAGACATGGACAAGATGAAGAAATTTTTGCGTGCATTTATTATTGCTTTTTTTGAATAAAGGACAAAAATGTGAGATTAATATTCACGATTTCAGGAAAATCTGCAAACAGATATATGGATAAGATATTAGAATGCGAGTTCTTATTATTGCGATACCTAACCAGTCACATTATTCTAATTAATAAAAACCTCGCAATAATTTCTGAATGCACAGTAAGCTATTTTAGTATGTTATTCTTAGTACAGTAATCACAAGATGAAGGAAGCTGGTGCGCCTTAGAGAGAACAACAGATCTTTGATAGGAAAACTGACAATCCTAGTCAATCAAGATTAGAGTCGATTGCACCTGCCACAAAAGGGATTTGAATTCACGACCAAAGGCTAGTGATACAGAAGAAGAAATACTTAGACCACTATGCCTAAGAGGCCCCTATTTTAGAATGAATCCCAATCCCAATTAAGTCACCTGCATTCAGTATGAAAATTCACCAACAAGTAGTATTTTCTACTAAATCACCCCCTGTGTCATGTGACTGCTGTGTACATCATCACACATCCTTTGCCCTCTAACTTCTGCCCCTATTTCCAGTAAACCCCCTAAGTCTTACCCTATTTCCTGTAGACATTGTAATTCTCCTTCTATTCTACTAGGATGACTGGTTGGTATAATATGCTTAAGAGCAAACAACTGATCCACGTCTGGGTAATGTTTCGGTCTGGCCCCTCCCTAGTCTTACCATATTTCCTATAGACCCCCCAGTATTACCCTATTTCCTGTAGACATTGCAATTCTCCTTCTATTCTGCTAGGATGACTGGTTGGTATAATATGCTTTAGAGCAAACAACTGATCCACATCTGGGTAATGTTTCAGCCTGGCCAAAAACACTGAACTAAATGTACCTAGAACATCAATAATACAATTATGAAGGATCTTTGAACAAATATTAGATGATCTAACCATTTTTTGAATGACATCCTCATCCAGTCAAACAAGAAAAGTGGATCATTACCGGTTAATAAGTTAAATAAAATTTTAGAGGATTGCAACACAATTTCATATAGCAGTCCTAAGTATGAAATCGTTCAAATTATAATGGCATATTGTTATTCTAAACTGTTTCCCAAAATTGATCGCCCTGAAGATCATAAAAAACAGTTTATTAAAATAAAGTATGTCAATAAAGGTTTTGATTTCGTAAATATTGCCGGTATTTTTAACGACCATTCTGTTAAAGAACAAATTCCGGGATATTTTGATAATACTGAGCTCCCTCTTATTTGTTATATTTACAAGAAATCTACCCGGAAATTTGTGTTTAATTATAGCCAATTGTGTAAAGATGTTAATATCAGTGAAAATACACCTACTTCATGTAATTGCAGTAATTCCGAATACATTTATGGACCCATTTCCCATGTTATAACAGGAGATCTTAACATCGTTCAAGACCGAGAGTTAAAATCATTCCTCAGTAAAGGACCTAAATATCGTCCCCCGTCAATTATTAATTGGAATGAGTGTCGTAATATCATCCACGACTCACTCCATACTTACTGTTTGAAATGGATAAAACGGGAAAAAGCTGACAAAAAATCTTTGGACTCTTTTTTTAATTCAGTAATGAACATAGTTGATATACGTATTCAACATTTTAAAGAACATTTTACTCTTGACAATAACCACAATAAACCTATTTCTCGTATCAAACATAAACTAAAAGAACTAGCCAAGGAATTTGTTTTTGTCCCGGCCGATAAAGCTGCTAATAATATTATTATTGTTTGACGTAAATTTTACATTGAGGTTCTGAAAAAAGAAATCACCAATTCACCAACATTCCAACTGACTCCATTTTCAGAAAACGACATCTGTAACAAACATAAACTTTTAGCTACCGCTTTACAAGCAGAACCAAATACAATGAAAGTCCCAACTATGTATTGGCTTCCGAAGCTACACAAAACACCTTACAAATATAGATTCATTTCGTCTTCAAGCCATTGTTCCACTACTAAATTGTCTATTCTTCTTACCAGTACACTTGGTACAATCAAAAACCTGATAATAAATTGTTCAAATAAGGCCTTCGAAAATAGTGGAATTAATTACTTTTGGAGTGTCAAGAACTCGTTGGAAGTACTTGATAAATTACATGCATATATTGGTGATTTTGAATCTGTTCAAAGTTTTGATTTTTCTACCCTATATACCACATTGCCTCACATTCTCATTAAGAAAAAATTCACACACCTAATTAAATGGGCATTTAAAAAGTCAGAATGTGAATATATATGTTCAAACTCTTTTAGGTCATTTTTTAGTAGCAATAAACAAAAAAACTATGTCAATTGGACATGCTTTGATACTATATATGCCCTTGAATTTTTACTAGATAACATTTTTGTTCGCTTTGGAGATTCCGTATATCGTCAGGTTATCGGAATTCCAATGGGGACTAACTGTGCACCACTTATTGCGGACCCTTTTTTTGTATTGCTATGAGTTACAATTTATGACAAAAATCAGCAAAGACCCATCGAAACAACATCTGATACACAAATTTAATAATACTTTTAGATATTTGGATGATATTTTGGCTCTCAATAATGACGACTTCAGTATGTATACTAAAGAAATTTATCCTGTTGAACTTACTTTAAATAAAGCTAATACTAACAATGACCACTGCCCTTACCTCTATCTTGATATCTATATCATTAATGGAAAGCTTAATACTAAAATATATGATAAAAGAGATGATTTTTCATTTCCTATCGTTAATTATCCATTTTTAGATGGTGACGTTCCCTTGTCACCATCTTACGGTGTTTAAATATCTCAACTTGTACGATTCGCTCGTGTATGTAACAATGTTTTAGATTTTAACGAGAGAAATTTATGTATTACTGAAAAATTATTACACCAGGGTTTTCGATATCACAAACTAGTCAAAACATTTACTAAATTTTATCATCGGTATAAGGACATCATTCGTAAATATAGCTCAACATGCAGACTTCTTATACATTCAGGTATTTCACATCCAATTTTTTATGGAAATATTCTTTATAAAGCACAAAAATGTCAGTATTCACCTCTGAAGCTAACAAAACCTTTAAATAGACTTATTAAGAAGGGATATAGTTACGATACTGTTGTCAGGTCATTAAAGTTTGCATATTTTGGCGTTAATATTGATTCACTTATAGGGTCTTTGCATCGGCACTAAACACATTTATTTAAAAACCAGTTGTTGGCATGACACGGGTTATGTTCTTCTCATATATGTTATGATGGTATGATACTAAACCCCTAACGGGAAGGATGGTGCCTGATATTCATATGATGAAGACATAATCTTTCAATCAGTTTAATTGAAGTCTGGAGCTGGCATGTCAGTTAACTGCTAGTAGTCTGTTGTTATTTATGTATTATTGTCATTTTGTTTATTTTCTTTGGTTACATCTTCTGAAATCAGACTCGGACTTCTCTTGAACTGAATTTTAATGTGCGTATTGTTATGCGATTACTTTTCTACATTGGCTAGAGGTATAGGGGGAGGGTTGAGATCTCATAAACATGTTTAACCCCGCCGCATTTTTGCGCCTGTCCCAAGTCAGGAGCCTATAGCCTTTGTTAGTCTTGTATTATTTTTAATTTTAGTTTCTTGTGTACAATTTGGAGTTTAGTATGGCGTTCATTATCACTGAACTAGTATATATATTTGTGTAGGGGCCAGCTGAAGGACGCCTCCGGGTGTGGGAATTTCTCGCTGCATTGAAGACCTGTTGGTGACCTTCTGCTGTTGTCTGTTCTATGGTCGGGTTGTTGTCTCTTTGACACATTCCCCATTTCCATTCTCAATTTTATCACAAGAATTGATTACGTTAGTATGAATCATTTTTAAGGATGTACTTAGGTCAGGTTTAGGAATTTTTGTCAGATGTTCGGACTCCTTGTTTTTTTCCTACTATACAGGGTAAAATATTTTTCCCCATAACACCCATTTTTCTTTTCATGTAAGACTTCAATAGCTCATAAAAGGTCATTTACCAAAATTTAAGCAGATTCTAGATTTCTTTTCTTTTGATTTGAGACAAAAACAATACCAATGAAAATATAAGTTAAAATTATGAGTCAGCCATTTCCTGCCATTTTTTAAAAATTAAATATCTCGAAAAGGAGCTCCATAACCTATCAATATTTTTAGCTTATTTTGTTCCTTAACTATTGCTCTTCTGTCTTTAATATAGTATCAATTTTAAATTCTAGATTTTTTGAATCATTCAACATTTATGGGAAATTTGTTTTGAAGTATAGTATACAATAAAATTGGTTAGAGTCACGGAGGAATAAGTGTTTTTCATATTTCTTAAATCACTTATCCAAGTAACATTTTGTCCAGAACTGTTGCAAGTAAGAGTAGTCTTTCTTTAATAATCAAATATTTAAGCAGTACAAATAAATCACTAAAGTGAATGAATTAATTTTATTGTACAGCTTTAAATATATAATACTAATGATCCAGGGACTAATTATGGTGCTAAAATTATCAGAACCTACATATGTGTTTATAGATGGCCAGTCATGTCAGGTGATACCTCTGTACTAAATTTCAATTCTGGAATTACACAAAAAGTAAATTATTGAAACACATGTACAGGAATATAAGATCACAGATATTGTCTCAAGACTACAAACCTTCTCCAATTTTGTTTGTGACAACAAAATGTTGTTCAACTTCCGGTACAAAGTCATACAGACATTCTATCTCTTCTTGTACTTCAACTAAAACATATAAAATGGAATTCTTTATCATTATATTAGAAGATTAAAGTCACATGACTATAAAACTTCAAATCTAAAATCATTGAACTTACATTTGTATCATAAGCTCTTTGAAATAAAATTTTGTAACAGTTAATGTCCAGTAAATATATCATATGTTTTTTAATGGCAGATACCATATTAAGTTTTGTCAAGGGCTATTCCATTAAAATGTATGTGGGAGGGTAGGAAGGGACTTTCAAAATATCCATACAAGAACCATTTTTTAGATAATTTTGCATAATGGTAATAGACGCATACTGAAAAAAGACCCATGACCCACATTTAATAATTAAACTTCCCTTCCTACCCTCCCACATACATTTTAATGGAATAGCCCCAATTTAGAGCTTCACAAAATGTACTGTGGATTCACTATTATTCGTTTTGAGGGTAAAGATGAACCAAAAATTCAAATGTTAAACAAAGTACAAATTTAAAAATGGCTTGTATGTAGACTTTGGCAAAACCATGAAATCAAATATCCACGCAAAAATGCAATTTTTCCTCAATTCACAAAAGTTAGTATCCTGGACAATAAATGAATCTACAGTATATTTTATGTTTTTTTATTCCATTTTGAAATTTGGTATTTATGGTAGATATTATATTGGCTTTTGGTGATTTAGAGCTTTACATATTGTAGTACATTGTATCAACAAACATCTGCCATTGATGACTGTATGTTGACCTCTTTTGTTTTTTTGTGTCATTGGGTCGTAGTCAAAATGATGTTTATCCCACATATGATCTCTTTTTATTAATCATTTTGCTAAGAAAATGCCATGCTTAAATATATGATGACTGTTTGACACAGATTATTAGTCCATTTAAAAATAAAATTTACAGGGTAACTTGTCTTTCTCCACTTCACAAACTTTCTTTTTCTTCTTTGGTGAGGTATAATCATTTTGTTGACTTCCAAAACCTTCATGTATACTGCCCACACTTAACATTTCCTGTAATACATGTATATATGTTATTAACTTTTATCAACAATTTGTCTTAAAAAAGTTTAAAAGTTTTCCTTTTTAAATTGATAGTATTTCTTAAAGTTTTGACTTTTAAGTCTCTGCAATCTTATCAATAATGTCACACTGATCTACTTACTTTTCATAGGATTATGCTCTTTGATTATGTCTAAAAAGAGATATATGTGTACATTGTATCTAGATACATGTATGTTTGTTTATCCATTACTGTTCCTATATAGTTTATTTGTTACCTTTATCTATTTATAAAATTGAAAATGGAAATGGGGAATGTGTCAGAGACAACAACCCAACCAAAGAGCAGATAACAGCCCAAGGCCACCATTGGGTCTTCAACACCATGAACACAGCAAGAAAATCCTGCACCCGAAGGCGGGCTTCCGCTGACCCCTAAACAAAAATGTGTACTTGTTCAGTGAAAATGGACATCACACTAAACTCCAAAACATAATCATGATAATAGAACTAAAATTAAAAAAAAACATACAAGACTATCAAAGGCCATAAACTATTCAGGGAAATGAGTTACCAGAGGTGTTTTTTTTTTTGTTGAGATGGGGATGGGGGTTGCCCCCAAATGAGTTACATAGTGGTTTCATTTTCCCATGAAATCACGTCACAATGATATAACAGGTAAAAAACCAAGTAATTCCACGAATTCCTCAATAGGGCAACATAAGTATCACTCGATCAAATGTCACAGAAACAAAGAACTGTGCATTTGTAATAATTTCAGGCATTTTTTCCATGCAAATTTTGGTGGTCAAAACCTTCGAACCACCACTTTTTGAGAACCTGGTAATTGAACATCCTACAATTCTACGACTTCCATTATCTTAACCCTTGATATTTTCAAGTATATATTCAATAGGATAACATTCTCTTATACCTGTGTGATTTATTAAAATTTTCCTGTTCAACAACAACCGAAATGCCCGCTAAAATTGGTTTAGTTATAGTTACTTCCCTTTGTATTAGGAACATGGGACAACTCGGCCCAGAGACAACTCGGACCGACTAATAAATAAACTAGGACCATCTATAAAATCAAGTCAGGTCGTCTATAATGTTAACTCGGACCATCAAGAGGGTTTGCATGGAGTGTTTTTAAAAATGACATGTAATATTTTACATGAAAGTATCATTTAGATGTTGCTGATGATTTGCAAAACATTATCTATCAAAATAATTTGTCACGTTTAATGTGATGCCGGATCAAAATTTCTTCTTATCATTATGAATTTATCATAAAACATTATTTGATAAAAAAAAGTCTATGTTGAATTTGTTTTATTTATTAGTTGAATTCGTTATTATTATTTTTTTAACCTAAAGTCTGTCAATTAATAAACTTCGATCTATTTAAAGTTAACTCGGACCGTCGATAATGCCAATTCTGATAAAATATAAACATTCAGGTTTGGCTATTTAAAAGATAATGTGTTAGACAGATGCATGTCTGCATAAAATGAAAAGCTCTTAGTTGTCTCAAGTCTAAAAGTTATGATCTTTAATTGTCTACATGACCTACGTATTTAGACGTTCCGACTTCTCTTCATAGGTCCTAGTTTTGTAAAAAAATACCTCAGTATTCCTAACAACAAAACTCATTATTATATTTAAAATTTACCTGTGTACGTTATTTTATTTAACGCCATTTTGTCCAAAGGTTCTATGCTATATATGTCAAAATCTAAATCAAGTTTTAAAATGTAAAATTTAATTCTCAATTATGTTAATATTTGAAACCATAGATATAGCGGAGAAGGATCTGCTTCCCCTTCCGGAGCACATGAGACCACCTACCGTTTTTGGTCGGGTTCGTGTTGCTCAGTCTTTACTTTTGTATGTAATGTTATATGGACTTGCTTATCTTTTCTACGTCTTTTTCTTTTCTCATGGCGTTGTCAGTTTCTCTTCTAACCATTGAATAAATATCACTGGAATTTACGACTGTACATGCATGTTCACTTTGTTGACCTTAGATAACCTAAATTGAACCGCGAAACTGTTAAAAAAAAACACTAGTTATCTTTACAGAAATTTAATTAAGAATAAAAAAATATGATTGTTTACTACCAATGGGCCGATACCTCTGGTGGTGGACTGTTAGACCCGAGGGTATTACCAGCCTAGTAGCCGCGGTACTTCGGTACTGGCATGAAAATACGGATATTTGCTGTTACAAAATTTTGGAGATTATTTTAAATTAAGGAATATATCTCCCTCATGCAAAGCTAAGATTCTTGGCCGACTTTGGCTATACGTTGTGTCCTTTTTGGTTGATAGGCTCTTCGTTATTTTGATAAGCTTTGGATTTTCAAAAAACAATATCAAAACATTACGCAAAAACAAAAGATTTAGCAAGACGAACCCACCAAAAACCTGGCCCCTATGTCTTCTAGAGGGGTAAGTAGTTACTACCTCAAATGTGGTACCCTTCGTGCTACTCAGGTGGTAATTTCATAATCGAGAAAAAGAGGAAAATATTTTGGTAAAGACAAGTGGACAAAAGAGGCGGTAGATATAGAAGGGACAATATACATACATAAGTCGAAGAAAAAACAACACCTTGGCACAACAACGAAGCAATGAACAAACAAACAGTTTAAAAACAATACATGGAAAACTAAAACCTGACCAACACGAACCCCAACGAAAACCAGGAAAAACCTCGTAAAAACCAATAAAAAAAAACCACACACACACACACAGACACACTAAAAAATAACGAGTACACAAATTTCAGACCAGAAATTCCACACGTTACCATGGACACATTCGTAAACGATCAACATTTATTTTGATAAGATGAACGAGCATTGACAAAATATTACTGATTCTTAGTGATATAGTTCTGTTCATTTAAACTTATATACTTAATATTGCAGCATTCTTTCAAATTCTTGATGGTACTTTGATAATTTTCAGTTGTGCTTTGATTGACAGTTTGGATTAACTTTTAGTTGTGCTTTAGTTTTAGCAGTGCTTTAATTTTAGTTGTGCTTTAGTTTTAGCAGTGCTTTAATTTTAGTTGTGCTTTATTTTTAGCAGTGCTTTAATTTTAGTTGTGCTTTAAATTTTAGTTTTGCTTCATTTTTAGCATGATTTTTCAGTTTTGCTTACACTTTTTAGTAGTTCTATGCATGTAATTCAATACTACTGTGCTGTATCTACACAATGTATGCAATTTAATATATGATGCTAAAATTCCAAAGCTGCATGCTCTTTGTTTTATGTGATGTATATGTTTTTTTTTTAATATTTCTGGAAAATAGTTATAACGGTACCAGGCTTATAATCTGATACGCCAGACGCGCGTTTCGTCTACATAAGACTCATCAGTGACGCTCAGATCAAAATAGTTAGAAAGCCAAAACAAGTACAAAATTGAAGAGCATTGAGGACCCAAAATTCCAAAAAGTTGTGCCAAATACGGCTTAGGTAATATATGCCTGGGATAAGAAAATCCCTTGTATTTCGAATAATTCAGACCAGAAATTCCACACGTTACCATGGATGAAAAGCTGTCAAGAGATTATGTTTTTTATTTTTATATGTAAACCGAATCAAAGTAAAACTTACGTACAGTGTTTCGGTACCTGTAAGTTAGTTCGGTAACCAGTGTTTCGGTGTTGGTAAGTTTACGTTTTCCACTTACAAGTTGGAACAGATTAATGTTACTTTGGAAGTGAGAAATGTCAAGTTGAACGTGAGAAATGTTTTAAAAGTTGTCAAAATGGAAAGAAAAAATTTGAAAATAGAATGTCCCCTTCAGTCTTTCGTAAGAATGTCATGAGTTTTTATCAATCGTTATCATTTTAAAGTTCTACAGCCGATTTCAATGAGTGTGTAGGAAAAAGTAATATCTTTTGGTTAGCTTGCTTGCTAGCTGAACTGTGAAGTCATTATTAGGTTAGGTAAACTACCCTCCTTTTTGAGTAGACTAGTCCGACAGACAGATAGAATTGGTTACCTGTGGGACTAGTCTACTCATAAAGGAGGGTAGTTTACTTAACTTAATAATGACTTCACGGTTCAGCTAGCAAGCAAGCTAACCAAAGATATTACCTTTTCCTACACACTCATTGAAATCGGCTGTAAAGAAAATCTTTATCTTATTTTCGTGGTATTTATACGGCATATGAATATGGACATAAGAATGTTATCATATTGCTTACGTATACTTTTCTACGATATATGATATGCAGCAATATCCATGCAATAATCCTTTTATTCTATTCTATGGCAATGCTTGAAAAACCCTATATAAACATATCTTTGTCACTGTTGACGGATGACTTAACTAGTTTGAAGCTTTAATCACTAGTGTAATATCATATATTATTGCACGATATTTTTTGGTTGCGTTCTGCATGAAATTTTTTTGGCTGTACAATAATAAGTGAAAAATGAAAACGAGATTCCCGAAACGTCTTATAGTTCCACACATGATCCTGGACACATTCGCAAACGATTGACATCTATAATTTTGATATTATGATACCATGATGAAGAACACTGACACACGTTGACTGATTCTTAGATTATCACCACACTTGTCATGATGGTTCTGTCTGTTTGGACGTCACTAGCCCATGACTGCCTTTGCCCTGTAAAAGATAAGATTACATTTTACAGAGTTCCAAATGTAGTAACAGAGAAGAAAACGCTTTCGATACGAAACTGGACTGTTTAGAAATTTTGGAGTCTAACACAGATTGGTATAGAGTTGCACTTAATGGAAGGGTGAGTAAGTCAGTCTCATTGATATATAACTGACTTTGCATCATATTTTCAGGAAAGATTTGGGGAAAATTTCACGTAGGCGAAGGTTGACTTAAACCTACTTTGTTACCAGAAAACAAGCATTGCTCCAAAGCTAAAATATTGTGGCATGCTTTATTCCTTTCATAAATTTCCGGCTTGTGTTGTCAATCAACTGAACATACCATAAAGCACAGAGTTTTAGAATCTAATACAGGCAATTTAAATATACCCTTCAATCTTTTTTTATATCCGATTAGAATTTTTTAGAAGTCAATTTTACTCTTCGTCAGAGTTTAGATTGTCCGTAGTTTTTGCACGTGGAATCGACCTCTGTAAAACATATAGCAAACAATTACAGACAATAGAAACTCGTCTTAACAGTAAAACCCCATGTGCTAATATCCAATTAATTAATAACAGAAGGAATCATGTGATGCGTTTTTCAATGGTATTTTAAAACTCGATGTATTGTCTTCCGTTGCAATTTTCTCTGGTTTCATCGCAATACAGAATCATTCATTACTTCAAAGCATAATTCTATTCTCAAAATGCATCCAATTACCATATTTTTTAAATCTAGAGAGAGTCGTTTCCCGCCAAATTTTCATATGATTATATATCTCAAAAACAAGCAGACTGACCTTTCATTTGATTATATATCTCAAAAACAAGCACACTGACCTTTCATTTTCTTCTTCTTTTTAAGTTCCTTAACACATGACATAGGCAAAATCTCTTTGTTCTTACTGTGCTATAATCAATAACTACCTCTGATATTCTGCACAGTTCAAATGTACTCTTATCTGTAGGGGCGGATCCAGGATTGTTCAAAGGTATAGGGCGTAAATCCATAAAAAAAAGTTTGACGATTTTAGGATTAAACATTATATATTTTCCAATCAAATTGGGGGTGGGGGGGGGGGGGATACTCCCTCTTCGTCCCCCTTTGAACCCGCCACTGACCTCCACTTTGTTGTTTCAAATTATGAAATAGAAAGTGCTTCTCATTCCTTAGAGCACTGTATGATATAATATATATTAAATCAGTGTTTCAAAGTCAAATAAGATAATTTTTTTGGTTATTTCTTAAAATATCCAAAATAGCTGAAACCTGATTTTGATAAGTTTTGTCCGCAATGGAATTTACAAAGGCGAATCCAGGATTTTTGAAAGGGGGTGTA